CCGTTACAGAGCCGTTACAGAGCCAAAACATTCACAGAGGACGACTTTGACGGGCGTGTGTTATAGCGCTGTCCGTCGATGAGAAGCTCCGGAGTGAAACATATATGGGACAAGACGGTTAAAAGGAAAATACGACTTCATACAAAAACATCTTCCGTCGGCAGATTAAAGTGTTGAATGTGTTTTTAAAATGTATTAAAAATTAATATCGGAAGCTTTGAAGTGTTTTTAAAATGTAAAAATCTAAATGTAGCACACACCTCTGTGGTTCGGTAACGTTACCTGGCGCCCTGTGTTTCACACGGACTTGTTTTGAAAACGCACCCGAAAGCCCGGGTTAGAGAAGCATGGAGGAGAATGAGGGCAAGTAACGGAGCCAGTAAACTGGACTTTGTTTGTTGTTGTTTCGTCTTGTTTGTGTCATGAAACCGAATGTATTTCAAGTTAAGGCTCTCACACGTATTCAGGCTCATTTTCTTGCATCGTCGACGTCCGTTTAATAGAAAGCGAACCCTTTTTGACCCTCATCGCTGATTTAAAATTAGCACAGGTCACCCGAGACACAACGTTATCCTCGCTGTCACTTGTATTAGGCTGATGTTTCTTTCTATTCCCGTGCCTGTAGCTGATTCAAGATCCTAACCAGATAACTCATGTGGAGGAGTTTGCTGCTGAAGGGCCCCGCCTGCCTCCTGCAGGTGCCAGCCCCGAGGATCCTCCACCAGAGACACTTTTCATCCCTCTGTGTGAGACATTTCACTCAGAGGCTCCTTCACAGGCCCCCCGAGGCTCCATGTGCTTCACAGCTTCTGGGGAGAGGCTACTTCCTGGCACACAGTGGGACCAGGGCTTATAAAAAGGATGCCAAGTCCCTTGTAGAGTTCCCTGTGAGCCCTGTCACAGTCACAAATATCAAACAGTATCTGCGCTCCAAAGACATTCCCTTCCACGATGGCTACAGCTGCCTCCACATCCCGAGCATCTTTGTCCATTCGTCTGCCGGGAAGGACAGCTTCATGTTGTTCGTGGACAAAACTACTGGACAGTTTCTGTGCAAAGAGACCCTGGTGGAAGGGAGCTGGGAGGATCTCCAGGACTGCCTTGAGGTGATGCAGAAGGAGGAGCAGGACTTCCTCAGCCCTCATGTGCTGCTGGGATATCCAGAGAGTGTGGAGGAGCAGGAGGAGAGGGAGAGAGAGCTGAGGGAGGTGCAGATGATCTGGTCCAGCTCTGTGCTCTTCACTGACCTCCCTGAGGACGAGGCTCAGATTATCAAAACCATGTTTCAGGTAATTGTTGAGTGTGAATTGGAGAGAGGTGTGCTGGTTTATCTAAAGGAGTGTGTGTGTGTGTGTGTGTGTCCGGACGTGTTATTGGATTTATTTGTTTTTTAAGTTGTAATAATCAAGGAACCACACTGCTGCCTGACACCATCACAATCACTGAACAGCAGGGAAAGTCGATCCATATATAGCTCTACATAATAAGCTTAAAGGAGATCTGTGCTAACAATCACCCATTTTTATTATTTTCAATGAATAGTTGATCTAGTTAGTCCTATCTTTATGTAGATCATATTATCAATTTTTTAAGTAAGTATATGTTGCATCCTATAACTGTTAAACATTTAGATTTATATAAAAGAATCTAACTTAACTATATACAGAGCTTTTCAAAACTAAATTCTGGTTTGAACACAATAAAATGCTGTAGTCACGGCATAATAACATAACACTAAAACATACTGACTAAATATTTATATTGTAATATTTTAGATTTATTTTCAGTTGCTAGGTGATTTTCAGAAACAAGCTCAAACAGCAGGAATTTAAAATTAAATTAAATTAATTAAAAACAGGTAAATCAAAAATGGCTTAGGGTTAAAATACCTTCTCACATAAATAAATGAGAGAAAATATTGTAACATCTGAAGACTATTTTCCTCTCAGGATGATACATTTGATTATCATTTTATTTCAGATCACAAAGATCTCCGATGCAACCCTGAAGAAGTTTGGCGTGAGGGTCTTCAAGCCTACCAAGAGTCTGGTTTTCCCCTGGTTTGGTGGACCCAACTCCACTCTGAAGGGGGTGAAGATTCTTTCCGCCCAAAGCACAGACACAGAAAAAGTTACTTATAATGAAGCTACACTGCCGAAGTGTAACTCTTACTACAACCTCTTTGGCCTCCCCCTGGTGGGCAGTATGGACTCTGAGGTGGTGCTGACGGGACATGAGCTGGACACACTGGCTGTGAGTCAGGCCACGGGACTCCCCAGTGTTGCTCTTCCACGTGGGGTCAGCTGCCTTCCGCCGATCCTGCTGCCTTACCTGGAACAGTTCAAGCGTGTGACTCTGTGGCTGGGAGGCGACATTCGCTCATGGGAGGCGTCAAAGATCTTTTCACGCAAGCTCGGTCTGAGGCGCTGCTCGCTGGTGCGGCCCGGGGAGTCAAGGCCGTGTCCCGTGGAGGCTCTGGCCCAGGGGAAGAACTTTGTCCCTATTATCAAATCCTCCATCCCTGCAGCCCATAAGTCTATAGTCTCCTTCAAGCAGCTCAGGGAGGACGTGTACGGGGAGCTGGTGAACACGGACCAGGTGGCTGGAGTGAAGTGGAAAAGGTTTCAGGAGCTCAACAGGATCCTCAAGGGACACCGCAAGGGGGAGCTGACTGTTTTCACAGGTACAAACATGATGTTTAAAAGTTTAATCGGTCATTTCTTTTTGTTGGGATAAAAAAATGTAATGTGTTTCTCAAGTAATCCTTATTAAAAGTATAGTCCTGGTTTGTACCTCTTTAATACGGATGTAAACACCTTTTATAGGATCCTAAAATATTAAAGATGCACTAATCAATATTTTATATTAGCAGTGGATCAAATGACTAATGTGAAAGGTAGTGACGAACCCACAGAGAATTATCACCCAACACTTGCTCTCAGCTCCAGGGAGGGTCATTGTTTTAGTTTTCTGTCCCACAAACTCCACAGAAGGTAGTCGTTTTCAGCAACTTTATCTGTACACTACCTGCCCATTACATTCACTAGAGAGACAGTTGGCAACTAGCTGGTGAAAAATTATAATAATTAGGTAATAAAAAGTCAGTTTGGTGTTTTCAGCTTGCTTAAATGGCCAAAAAATAAATTAATGCAACTTTAAAAATATTTTTTTATCATTATAAGTAACAACAGGTTCCATTTATGTGTTTTAAATTTTGGTGTAAAGTTGGAGCTACCCTCTTTGTTTATATATGGATCAAAGTACAACATTCACACTCAGAGCAGGCCAGGGTTAACTTTCATTCAAACTGCCCCGGAAAATAATACATTGGGTCACGTTTGAATAGGAGGTGTAAACACTGGTACCTGTATTATCTCTTCTCCACTCTGCAAGTTAACAACGAAATATCTGTAGTGTACCTTTTAATATGTATTGTTTCTTTGTTCACCAGGTCCTACGGGCAGTGGGAAGACCACCTTAATCAGCGAGGTTGCCCTGGACCTTTGCATGCAGGGCGTCAACACGTTATGGGGCAGCTTTGAGATCAACAACGTGCGTCTGGCGAAGATAATGCTGACACAGTTTGCCATGCAGAGGCTGGAGGAGAACCTGGAGCAGTACGACTTCTGGGCGGACAAGTTTGAAGAGCTGCCACTCTACTTTATGACCTTCCACGGGCAGCAGAACCTCAAGTAAGTCTTGTCAGGGTTTCAGGAATCCAGCTAGTTGTACTTGTTTTGAACGCGTGCATGCAAGCAAACCTAATCCCAGTCGACATAATGTTAATTGCTCTTTTCAGTGAGCGTCAGGCAAGAACAGAACATCGAGTAATTCACTGGATAACTTAAACAGTAGCTGTAAGACTGCCGGCGATTGCTACAAATTCTTCTCGATATTGTACCGAATTTAAGCTAAAGAGAAGCGTAATGATTAGTCGATTAATCGATTAGTTGAGCAACAGAAAATTGGCAGCTAATATGATTATCTATTTCAAAATAAAAAAATAAAAACATTCTCTGGTTCCAGTTTGAGAAAATCCTGCTTCTCTCTGTTTTGTATCTTTTTAACTAGAAAATCTTTGAGTTTTGGATTGTTAGTAAGACAAATCAAAATATTTCAATGTGACACCTTGGACTCTAGATGTGATGATAATTTTTTGACATTTTATTGACCAAACAATTATCAAGAAAATAATAATAATGAAGTTAGTTGCAGCTCTTAAACTAGTGCTTGTCTGTAATACTTGCTTTACTCCAACTATGGCGAGTGGACTCACCTGCAGTGTGAGATACATATTTAACATCTTCAGATTCACACGTATCATTTTAACCCTTCTCCAACCTTCTCCACAGGGCAGTGCTGGACACTATGCAACATGCTGTCTACCTGTATGATATCAACCATGTCATCATAGACAACCTGCAGTTCATGATGGGGCAGGAACACCTCACAGTAGACAAGTAAGAGTTCAGTTATGACAAATAGGAAGATGTCTGTCCTGTATCTCTGTCAGTATGAATGAAGTTGATTTCAAATGCAACTGTATTTAACTTTAAACTGTTAAACAATCTGAATGAATTAGTCTGAATGTTGTTTTGGTCCAGTATAGTATCCGTTTCATCAGGCACAATACTTCTAAAGTGCATTGTCCGTGACAAATATGGAAATAAATGATGTTTCGTGTGGTCCAGGTTTGCAGTCCAGGACCACATTATCGGAGCATTCAGGAAGTTTGCCACCAACAGCAGCTGCCACGTCACCCTGATCATTCACCCGAGGAAAGAGGAGGATGACCGGGAACTACAAACAGCATCCATCTTTGGCTCGGCAAAGGTAAGAGTGTTTCTGTTTTCAAGGTTACTTTATTTGTACCCATGGGTAGATTTGGTTTGCAGTAAAAGATAAGGCATTACTCTTGATAAAAATATAAAAACAAACAAACAACTCAGACAAACATATGAATTTTATTTTTTATTTGTAAGTCCTGAATTTTAGATTTTTAAAGCCTGAAGCACTTTTACTTTTATCATGTTTGTAATAACCACATATTTAGCGTACTATTATTACTAAATAAAGTTTTATCTGCTATTTTGTCATTGACTTGACATTATCATGAAAATACATATGTCCTGACATAACTAAGACACACCATGACCTTCTAACCCACTCCAGGCCAGCCAAGAAGCCGACAACGTCCTCATTCTGCAGGAGAAGAAGCTGGTGACGTGTCCCGGCCGCAGGTCCCTGCAGGTTACCAAGAACCGCTTCGATGGAGACGTGGGTATCTTCCCTCTGGATTTCATCAAGTCTTCGCTCACGTTCTCATCCCCCGTCAAGGGAAAGGTCAGGTTGAGAAAGGTCGTCGGCAAGCCAGAAAATGAAGAGGAAGAGGAGGTCAAGGTGGTCAAGGAGGCAGTGAAGAAGGAACTGGTTAAAAAAGAAAAAGTGGCCAAAACAACAAAGACTCGACAAACTAGTAAAGATCCTCGTACTGGAAATGACAGTATGCAGAAGTAATATAGTTCGTAAGCAGTTTCAGTCTGTTTTACCACTTCCACACTTATAGTTGAAGGTTAAAAAGATAATTAAAGTGTTAGACAGTTTTATGTCTTAACTAAGCTGAAAATTAAGTATGTTGCAACAATGCATAATAATACATATATATTCTAGAATATATGAAATAAAAGCTCTGATTGTGATTCACAATGAAACAGTTATAGTTATCAAGGATAATTTGAAGTCACTTAAGATTAATTTCATTATGGAAATATGGATGCTTCAACCAGAATGTGAAATGATGATGGTAAAGTACACATTAAGCTCCTATACAGCTTGTAAAGATTTTCTATGCAGGTACTACTGTGTATTAAAACTGAATTCCTTGTTAAAAGTGTTCTACAATTTCAAAATATACTGTGACACCAAGAGTTACTGTTCATGGTAAACATTATCACACTGTCTGCTTGCCAGGATGACACAAGTGCTCTCTCTACTGACTTTTTATACAACAATGCATTAATGAATGCTTCTTTTTTTAAATAAAATGCTTGTGAGGCAGCCTTTTGTCTGTGTTTTTCAATTAATTGTCACTAGGGGGCAGTGTGCGCTTTATAGATGAAACTGAAGCTCACTGCGGCTAGACGCTGATGAGAATAAAGATCCACAGTAAATATCATCTATATGTGCAAGTGGCACACTGCAAACCTGTATTTGATTTAGCTTTGTCTTTAGACTTCAGTAGTGACTGTTTAAACATTACTGATGCAGTTTTATCAATAAGTACAAGCGTGACAATTCCCAATCACGCCTTTTAACAAGAAAATGGTTATTTATGTGCTGTTCAATAACTGCAAGCACAGTAGTCCTCTTGTGTGATTGCTTTTCATATAAATCTTTCAGTTAGATCTTCGGCCTCCTTTTGCCCTCCTGCTGTGGCTGTTACAACCTTTGAACACCGATAATTATGTTGTGTCAGCTTACACATTATGTTGAAAAGGCGATGAGGTTCTATAGGTTGTCATGTACCTGCCTAATGCCGTCAGACTGAGCCATCTCATCATGTGTCATGTTACACGATCCATTATTTAAACTGAGTGACTTTTAATAAATGCAAGAGTCTTTCAAAACATCTTCATATGAATATTTAATTGGGTCAACTGCCAGGTCCTGCCTGCACTGGTGTGTGGTTACATGAGGAATCAGCAGCTTTCAGAAGTGGGGAAAGTCTGCATTGTGCTGTTCTGTCTGCTGCCGCAGGATGTATTGACGGTTGAAGTGTCGTATTTCATCAAAGTCCCTGCGAAGCCAAATACATTTCTGATTTATGATATGAAGGGAACGGTTCAGTGTGGGAAAATGAAAGTGCCTGCGTGTTTGATATCGGGGCCTTTGATGATTTTCAACCTTGGCATCCACACAGGGAATTGTTTATCACCCCCCGAGTCACACTCATTCAAAAAAATAAGGATCTTTGCACTTTGGGAATCTCATTAAGATACCCATATGCCCATAGCAACAGGATGAAACATCAAAGATGACATGATGATATTTTTAATATATCTTATTTATATAGTAACATTGTCAGACTCATGATGGACAAGTTAATACAAAAAATATCAAAATAGATGCTGCAAAACCAGAGATCATATATTTTATTCCACTCATGGTCAGAACCTGGTGCCTACATAACCCACAGTGCAACTCGACCACTGATAGTTGGGAGAGATTTGTGTGTGTTATGCTAATAACGGCTAATGTAGCCTACACCACTAACTCCACACCCCTTGTTTTCATTTTTAAACTTTATAGTCTTCAGCCCTAATCAAATGACATCACTTGGAATATTATCAGACTTGGTGCAGCCACATGACTTTATACACATCCCCAAGCAGGGTCCAAAGTCTTTAAAGTTTTCTTTTGGGGGGGGGGCTTAACCCTGGGAATGTGTTGTGTTGCCATGTTATTATCTCCAATAACATGTAACTCTGATGTTTGTTATGACAGAAACATAGACAGTCATTGTGTAGTGTCAAATTGTAGTAAGCTGCTTCGATTTTAATTGTTGATGTCATGATAGGTAGTGAGGATCACATTAGTCTCGGGCAGTATACATAAAAAAAACACAGTGATGCAAACTTGGCCTTATGCTGGCTTGGGTTTTACCGCCAAACCCAAATGTACCCACATTTAGCTCTTGGCGTGTGTAAATTTTGGATGCTGTCCCCAAGACCTGTAAACAGACTTTGATGTGTAAAAATGAGTCCCCCATTAATGCTGTACCGTTGCTTGCCTCAGTCTTGAGTTTATGGACATTGGGGCCTCTCTGTCTGCCTCTGAGATCTCTGTTGGCTCCGTCTCTGACAGATCAGTCCAGGGAAGCTCGTGGCTCCAGACTCACTTTGCACATGGTGTGGGCCCCTGAGAACCTCAGATAACTGAAACTGTAAAATATTGTTGAAAGCTGTGGGAACAATTCCTGAGTATGTTTGATGAATGTAAATCACTGTAGATGAGATTGCAGGAGGGAGACAGTTCCTGGACAGATGTGGTGATATCAAGGTTTCTGTTCCACCCTTTTACTCTCATTTCTTCTTCACCGAGCCTCCCTTTAATGCTTAATGTTTTCTTGTGAATGTTTTACTGCTGTGCAAGTACACATTGCTTCCATAATGACTCCAGGCTGTGCACTGGATGGGTCTGGGTGTCCTCTTGACTGTGTGGGTGTAGGATATGGATGCGGAGGCCTCTGAATGGGGCTCTTTGTGTTTTGAGGCATTACTGCGCCCAGATCTGTCGCCTGCCAGCTCCCCAAAAGAGGAAAAAACACACAAAAATTGGAATGAATGAGTGTGACACAAATGCATGCAGATGCACAGAACTTTCTCCAATACTTTGAAGCTGTCAGTCATAGTTTATAATGTTACAGAGCTTAATCCAAGTAAGCTTTCAAAGATAATAGCTCAAGTTTTCTATTTCTTCTCACAGAGTAAACAGGTGGGGAAAATACATGCTGAAATCACTGTATATATCAGAGTACAGCGCCGTACGCCTGATTGTTCTCTTTGTTTTGAATGGCCTGTGTTGATCAGCGGTTTTGCATGCCTATTCAAATAGCTGCCATCTGGAGAGGGGAGCAGATGAAACAACTTGAGTTACGCAGCTCTTAATCACGGAAACAAATTGTGCAGGGACCAAACAAATTCCACTTCATTAAAACGCTATAGGATATGATGTTTCAGCTGCAGATAAACCCTTTCTCTTATGAAGTACTTGACCCAAAATCCACTGAAAACATCATGATCAGATGTAATAATGTGGAGTATTAGAAATACATGTGCTCCATGAACTGATTCTGCCAACAAGAAAAAAATCCAGGGTTTATAGCTGTCAGCGAAAAATGAACTCAAGGCCCCAGCTGCTCCCAGCACTGCTGATGATGGGACGCATGGATACATGACATGCATGCATAGCTCTCCGCCCCATTAGCTGCCCTTCATTAAGCCAACTATTTGACCAAGTCTGGAGGTAATTTCAGGACTTTCAATCAGAGTTAATCAGCCAGGGGCTCTGGCACTGCAACAGGACTTTACTCAATGTCCAAGATGGGATCATATTCAGAGTATTTTCCATCAATCTTGGTTATGATAGATGTTTCCTCTTTTATGGTGTCAAGACGGAATTGTTTTTTTTAGTCTTACAGTACTTTGGAGAAAATCAGCAACAATAAACAGCATATTTAATCTTAATTCTAAATTCAAAAGAATAATTTGATATTTTGGGAAATTAGCTTATTCACGCTTGAGTTAGATAAGAAGATTGATACCACTCTCATATTAAATATGAAGCTGCAGCCTGCATAAGCTGAGCTTTGCTTAAAAAACTGGAAACGGGGAAACAGCTTGCCTGGCTCTGTTCAAAGGTAACAGAAGACAGATTTGAAACATCTAAAGCTCAGTAATTAACACATTATATATCTTATTTGTTTGAATTGTACAAAAACCGGAGTGTAAAAACCAGAAGTTTCCTGGATCTAGGGTAGCTGTTTCCCCTGCTTCCAGTCTTTGTGCTAAGCTAAGCTGCTGGCTGTAGCTTTATGTATATTAAGCGTATAGATACTGTGTGAGAATGGTATTGATCTTTTCATCTGATTCTCCAATGCCAAGACCAATAAACATATTTTCCAAAACGTCAAACTGTTCCTTTAAAGCAAGTTTATGCACGTTCAATGGCTACTAGTGGCTTAAAGTAAGTGTGAGGAAGTATGTGCTTTCTATCTTTGATGCAACAACAGATGCATTCTTTATAAAGAATTTCTGCTTTCATAGTACAGTACAGTGGAGAGAAAAGGGAAATACTTAAATGCCACATAAACCAACATCCTCTTTTTTAATAAATAGGAACTGGTATTATTGAAAGCTCTGGTCGCAAATGAGCTGTTGAGGTCAACCTTTTAGCCAACATGGACGAGAAGCTCAGTAAAAATGTAAGGTTTGAACATCTACAGTTCAATTACAACTGAGAAAGCTCATCTGATGACAAAGACATTGTAATGCAGTTGAAATGTTTAAAACAGAAGAGTAATTGGACCTTGAGTTGGGATTGTTTTGTCAGATCCTTGACTTTGTTTGAGCATGCTTGTTAAACCGTTTCAGTGGGGTTAAATTTAAATGCATACATTTTTGAGACTCATGGTACTCAATTTTCAAATTTAGCAGCTTAAGGAGGGAGTGAGAACATAATTTGACCCAGACTGACATTAAAATAGAAAGTGTGACAGAACATGCTGGGAGAACATTGAGTGCATGGAGGGGTACAGTGAGTATGTAGAGCAAGTTCATCAGTACACTGTGTCTGTCACATTACAGTTTCTCCTTCTTAAGAAAGCATAGTAACTTTTCTTATCCTTGAAAGTGAGAAACTGGGACCCAGTATTTCTACCAGGATCATTGCAGTCTTTGCGTCGGATACAATGATTCTACTGACAATCGCTCTGAAATGTTCATAAATAACACCATTGCAACACAAAGTACATGCCATGTTTTTCTGTGTATTTGCAGCCAGAGCTTGCTGAGGACACACAACGCTTGCAGAGAGACCAGAGGCCGTTTCAGACTCAAAGCTGATTCAAAATGCCCCAACCATCCCCTTAATGTCAGGACATAAGGCGGGGGTTTACTCTGCCTCACTTATTCACGTGCACTCTGCACGTTTGACCCACATTACCCGACAGTATGCCTGCTACTGTGTATATTAATAACCATGTGCACATCTTCTCCTCTGTGCTCCCGGACCAGGAGAAGGCTCATATTTCAGCTCATTATGTGAAACTTAATGGCTAATGCTATTCTGTATTTTTATTATTGTGAACATATCTTGTGAAAAGACCAAAACTGTGAAGCCAAAGTCTGATTTTTCTTGTGCCTTACAGACCCATTGTTGTCTCACACACATCAATGAGACACACCACTGCACATGTCTGTCCACCACTATGAACACACACACTGTAGTTTATTTACACTCAATCCCACATGCTGCTGTAAAAAATCACTAGA